TTTTCGATGACGCTGAGCAGGTTTCTAATTGGAACCATATGTCTATTTTCTTTAATTAAAAATTTAATTAACAAATTTTAATTAATTAGGCGACTGATCGTTACGATTAACGCCCTATAATATGTCCCCCTGGCCGTATAACTCACCTCCACAAGCGGCATTAGTGTAACTTTCACGGCTTTTTATAAACAAATATGTTAATCTTAAAAAAAACACCCTATATATATATATATATATATACCTCTTATGATGAATAGCCCCTAATATTTCAGTAATAACATACAACTATGCGATGTCTTTTGCTGATGCACCTGAGAGCATAAATCACAAAACATGAAAAAATATGACAATAAAAAAGTCAAACCTTGTCAAAAATATTGCGACCCCCGTATGAAGTTATGTCAAACTATAGCATCTCTCATTTAATGCTCCTGCCTTCAACGATTCAAAGTTTCAGCCATTGAGCATGTGTTACATGGACCACCTCAATTTGTGTTGCAGCAGCGTAAAATTTGTCAACATCGGAATAGCAGAAAACATTACCACATCTTATTGCAGGTTTGGAACTCACAATGAGCTCCTGTCCTGGAGTGCAAGTGTGATAATTTTTGTGCGTGAATCACCTGCGGCATGCATGAATGTGGTGGGTGTGTTCCTAGTCTCGGCAGTACACTGATCAAGCTCAAGATAGGCGCGTCACCAAAGTAAAACCCCTTTCAGGCATGCGGCATCAATGCTCAGTTCCTCAATTGTGACTGCCCACACAGAAGAGCTAACGGCATCTTCACCGGTGTAACACATAGGTCGATTGTTGTGCTGAGTGCCGCGCTCCTATGAAAAGAGAAAAAAAAAGAGAAGAGAAGAGAAATACTCCTGCGTACGTTGTATTTCAATCTAGAGGATCCCTCAATAATTTTACTTTAACAGAACCAGGCAGTTCTGAATCTAGACTGAGATTCTTACAATTGAGCAGCGCTTATTTAAGGTTTGCGTCGCTTTCGACCACCAGCATATATAAAGGAGTTTCGTGGACATACTTTTATGAGAAGAATCTGTTACATACTGTTGCGAGGTTATTTGGGGTTAATAATTAATAATAATTACCGATTTGGGCTGAAACTTTGGCATCTGGTTGTTACCTGTAGTTCTACCTTTGGGAGGAGAATGAGCGTTTGGCGATGCATAATTTATTTTTGCAGTAAAAAAGAACGTGTAATTTGTTTTCGTGACACCCTGCACTTGTTAACAAATTCAACTTTGACCGTGAACGATTTTTTAGACCGCTTGTGTCTGCTTTATGATAGAAGCGCTAACGTCATCAGTCAAAAAGCCTTAGAACACTTCCGACCCGCGTATAATCAGACTGGGTATTTTGTAGTATTTGCAATATTAAATCTACGAAGGTCTCTTGTAAAATTTTCAAATTTACTTTATGCACATTTAGAAATTAGTAAAGATATGCGGATCGGAAATGTACCAAGACTTCTCAATAGACGGCGTCAATGTGTTATTCTTATCATAAGCAGTAACAAGAACCTTCGAAAGAGCCACGCTGTTCGGTACCGATTGTAACGCATCCGATGCCTGCAATAATATATTTCTGCTGTTGGGAGTATTAAATGAAACATGCTCGAAGTGGTTGCTGCATGCGTGCATACTGATGCATAAAACACAAAAATGGAGGATTAAGCTGGAACTCGTTTAATTTTTTCTCCCTTCCCTTACAGCTCTTTGGCTGTGAATGATGTTTTGTATGTTGCAATAGAGCGTTGTGCGATGAACTTAGGTCTTGAAATAGTGACATCTAAAAAAAGGTATTCCAAAATGTTGCAAACATTAAATTAACTTCTTGTGTGCCTCGAGTTCAAACATCAATCGGCTGCGTGATAGGTTGTAGTTTCTTTCATTAATCGGTGACCCGAAACAGCCGTCTCCTCCCAACGTACAAGAGCGTATCAGACTCCTTGAAACTGGTTCTCGCATACATGCCCCAAGAAGTGAGGGTTTTTCTGCCTCCTAGAAAAAAAAAACAATAGAAAACAATATTTTAGGTACAGAGAAATGCACAAAACTTTTCAGGCTCAAAATCAAGCTGAAATCCGTGCTGGTAATTCCCCACCCTGTTTTGCTTTGTGTGGAGGCAATGTGTTCCAACTAATTGCTTTTCTGTTTCATTTTATTTAATTTATTGAACCCTTAAATGCCCACCGGGGGCCTTGCATAAGGGGGGCATATTTAAACACTCAAAAACACACAAACAGGAAAAAAGGCTAGGATGTTTGTGAACGCGTACAAACAGGACGCTAGGTGGTGACGAGAGAGGAAATGGCAGATCTGAAGTTATTGCATTCTGTGATGCTCACAATAGGTTCCCGGAGGTTGTTCCAATCAGTAATAGCCAATTGCTAGGGAGAAAACTTGAATAGGTTAGTCCTAGGCATAGACAGTTGAATTTTGAATGGATGGTCAGTGCGGGGGGAGATGTGGACGGCAGGTGGGCAGTATTCATCTTTTTTTATAGGAAAATTATAATATATTTTGTGCAGGTGGGTAAGACACGATACTTTCCACCTGTGTTTTAAAAGAGGGAGGTTTAATTTTGCTTTCATTGCTGTAACACTTGTAGGCTGATAAGTACGGAGAATGAAACGTGAAGCCCGGTTCTGAACAGCTTCCAATTTTTCTTCTAGATACAACTGATGGGGGGTCCAGACAATGGTTGTATACTCGATTTGAGGACGGATGAGAGAAATATGTGCGATGAGTTTAGTTTCTTGCGTGGCCTTATAGAGATGGGGCTTTAAAAATCCCATGGCTTCTGTTTGCTTTCGCAGATATGTAGTTTATATGAGGCTCCCATGATAAGTTATGGTTAAAGCTGATGCCAAGGTACTTGTAGGATGTTACGGCTTCAATTAGTATGGTAGAAAGCGAATAATCAATCTGAGTAATGTTTTTTTTTTGGTAGTGAAGTTAAGAAATTTTGTTTTGTCAACTTTGATCTCCATTTGCGATTCTCGACCCCACGCTTGGATTTGTGACAAGTCATTTTGCAAAAGGGTACAGTCGGTTACATTCATTATTTTTCTATAAATGACGCACTCATCCGCATATAATCTGGTAGTGGAATTGAGAAGATCCGGCAGGTCATTCATGTAAATTAGGAAAAACAATGGACTCAGCACGGTTCCCTGCGGTGCTCCCGATTTAACAAGTTTTTGTGACGAACAATTGTTGTCTATAACAACGCTGTGTGTTCAGTTTGAAAAGAAATTTTCAATCCAGTTTATTACGGTCGTTTCTACTTTAAGTGCTTTTAATTTTTGGATAAGGCGGCAATGTGGGACTTTATCGAACGCTTTTTTAAAGTCAATGAAGATTGCACGAGTTTCATGTTTTTTTTTTATTTTGGTTATGGTGGATGTCCGTTAAAACTTCAAAAAGTTGAGATTCACAGGAGTACGACCGCCGGAAACCGTGCTGGTTTGAGAAGAGCATAATATTTACAGATAAATAATTTATTACATTAGAATAAACGACATGTTCTATCAATTTACTTACAACAGAGGTTAGATATATGGGTCTGAAATTGGTAGGGACATCTTTTGCGCCATCTTTAAAAATTGGGACAACCATTGCAGATTTCCAGTCAGCCGGAACAACACCAGAGTCAAGGGATTTTTGAAATATGCGGGTTAAGAGTACAGTAGATATGTCACTTGTAACCTTGAGCAGCTTTGTAGTTATAAGGTCAGAACCGGGAGCCAAGTTAGATGGTGAATTTAATATTAATTTGGAAATTCCGTCATTTGTTACAATGATCTGATCTATTTGGGTGGTTATAAGATATTCTGGGAAAGTAAGAGGCTAATTGAAAAACTTCATCAGTGAACACTTCACTAAAGAAAGTACAAAACAGCTCCAAGGTCTCGGCTGTCGATAAACTCTTTCCAGAGGCGTCACTCAAGCTGACCGAGTCCTTTACCTGCTTTGGATTAACAGCGGCCCAAAACTTTTTGGGGTTTGTTTTCAGCAGAGATGAGCAAAATACATACAAATATGTATCAAAATACAAATACAAAATACTTCCTCAAAAATGTATATAATTACAAATCTCATTACATTTCCGAAAAAGCATTTAAATACAAGATGCAAATACAACGAAATGTATTTGGTCTCCTCCAAATACTTTTCCAAATACATTCCTCGAAATTTACGTCAGCGACTTCAGGGCACCTGAAACGGGTTTCCGGGTATCTCATTTTAATTTTACATCGGACACTCGGGAGTTAGCGTGCGAGGCTCTATAGTCGGTTACAAGTCAAGAAGGTAGGAGAAGCTCCTCCCACAAGCGTCATGCGCTTGTTTCAAATCTCCCCGCAGTCGAAAGAAGAGTTCACTGGAAACGCTCCTTGTTCCGCTTCAATAGATTCCAACTTGTCTCCGATCCCACTTTTTAAGAAAGCGACCTTTTTATTCATTGGAGGGGGAACCCAGCCCCTAAAAGCAGCCTTTGTATCCATCGGAGGGGGAAGCTAATGCCCGAAAGTCATATTTGTTTTCATCGGAGGGGGGAAACTCGAATCTCCCTCTTGTGGCTTCCACAATGCTAAGTCAAAGTCGAAACCCTATTGAAAATTCCATCAAGGTACGTAATTTGGGACACTGACTGCCAGTCAGCAGCCCTGGTGGAACGTGCCCTGATGGTCCATCAGACGACGTCTGACTGCCACTGATGGAATGTCCCAAATTACGTATGTGGTGGTCTTTGATGGAACGTATTGTGGTGGTCTTTGATGGAACGTATTGCGGTGGTCTTTGATGGAACATATTTGATGGAAGGTGTGATTGTGATCACTGCTGAGCTGATAGGATAGCCTAACCAAATTGCAGCGTTGCCAGAGAAACCATTACATACTTTCGACTGCCGTAGGATCACTGCAAGTTAACTTCAAGGAGAACAGCCAATAAAATGACAAGTAAAATGCAAAATCAAACCTGTTGTATCTTTATTAGGTCACAGAAAACGCCTGCCTTGAGCGATGCTCAATCTGAAAAGGTAAAACAAACAGCACAGTTAGACTAAATTAAGTTAAAGCAAGTGGTAACTGCAATGGTGGAACTGACAAATGGTGATTTGGAGCTCTTGTAGCAGGCAAAAACTGGTTTTGGGGCAGACATTCTCACTTTTGGAGCAAACATTTTACCAATGTTAGTGCGTCATTTCCAATGCAGAAGTTCAAAAATGCTATAACAACTTGGAACCTAATGCCGGAGCTGAGGGTTTCTCAGCAATGGTGACAGCTGCTCATATTGAATTCGAACAAGGGAATAAGTGTGTACCCGTCCTTATTTCTTGTTTTTTTCTTTCACTTTTGAAATTTGATTTTTTAGGCAACAGGGACATTCCTTCACAAACGGGCCCACGTGCACCCAAAGCATGTTTCAGAGAAACGCCCTCGATGTCTGAACCTTTCGGGACGACCGTATACTTTAATTCACAAAACGTATGCGACTCAGCTGAAGCTAGAGGCAAGCATGCATGCTACGACAGGCAGTCCCTTGCTTCCACGGATGAACACGAGCAGCAGACATATCTGAACTATGCTCACGGATGCTTTTTGTCTGCGCTCTTCATGAAACTAATAATGAGCTGCGACATAGCGGTAATGCCAATAGCCCATCTGTAAAAAAATTTGCCTCTTTTATGGAGAAATTCTCTGGCACCTATGCCGCCGGAAAGGTCATCCGTAATTCTAATAACGGGAAAATCCTTTTAAACATATACACTATCCGTAAATAAAAGGACATTCCGCAAAACAGATTACAGAAAGTGCTCTACTATCCTTAACGCTATTCAAGAGCTGTCCATAAAACAACGGACTGGAATATGCATTCCGTAAAACCTATTACGGAAATCGCTCTAGTATCCGTAAAAGTGCTTAAACGTTGTCGGTAAAAGGGCAAACAGAGTAGGCTTTCCGTAACTTATATTACGGAAAGCACTCTTGAGTATCCGTAATCCTATGCGGAGCACAAGTTTGTCTGCTTCTTGCACAGGGGTTGCGGTAATGTCAGAAGGCCGAGCTCTTATTGGCTGATTGAACAAAAAAATAGTGCGTAGACCTCATGGTGTCTAGCATTGTGGTCTACCCACTATATCCTTTCAATCAAAGCCAATGAGAGATCGTCACCCTTCTCACATCACCGTAATGTCTGTGCAAAAGCAGACGACTTACTCTCCGCATAGGGCGGTGTCCATAGAAAGGTAGGCTGTAAAATGAGCGAGAAGAATCAATGCCTTCATCTAGCAAGCTGAACTTATCAAAGGTTTTCTTTTTGAGACACAGATTCCCATGAAAACTTTTAAGGTGCAACTCCAGTCTGTGAAAAATAGAACTCCATTATTTAAATTTGACAATGGGCACCAATGTATACAATCGCGAGCTGCCACAACCTGTTGTGGAAAGCAGGCAACACAGCTGAGCAATGCATCTGCAGCAAGTTTTCTCAATGTCAGTTGTTTTTTCTTCTGTCAGTTCTGGCATTCAGATCAATGTGCAGAATTATAGAAGGTAGTGGGATTACAAAACATTATCTGTAGTCTGACTGACCACCCCAGTCATTGCATTTTTAAACAGCGATATAAAGCACCTTCTCGGCAACACCAAACGTTACTCTCACTCATCTGCGTCGGCACTCATGCTTGAAAATAAAGAGAATGCTGTTTTCACATTCTACAGAGACGGAGCTGTGCCTTTACATGTCACAATGGTGTTCACTGCTAAAATAGACCTTTGGTAAGAAAATGAGCTCAATGCTTGTAGGTACAGATTTCTCCAGTTCATTTAACAGCCAGTCCCTTAGTGATGCTGCCCTATACATAAAGTAATGTTCATTATGACGCTGATACAACCAGGTTTTCTATAAAAAAAAAGTTACAGAATTTTGAATTGGAAAAGGATCTCTTTAAACGAATACTGAGTACTCTTTCCTATGCTGCTTGCAGCAATCATGTAATGTCACCTGAATAATTAATGAGAAAATAAGAAAAGTACCTTCGAACACTTTATGTGGGTCCTTGAAGAGCCAAAGTAGAGCCCCCCATGGTGTTTGGCCTTCGTTTCCAGATGCTGCATGTAGCATGATGTGCTAAAGAGAAAACAGAGAAAAAATAATTAAATATGTATATCAGATGCAAATTGAGCTTGTGCATAAAACACAGCCCCCTCAGTCCATTTAATTATTAGCCATGAATCTTATACAAAAGTCAAATGGACATTGCCTCTAATTGTTCATCCTGTGACCCGATATCTAAAACCAATGTTTGACTTGAGGGTCTTGTTCTCCCGTTCCTTAGTCAAAACCGATACACTTCAAGCCTAAATTCGTTCGAAACTTAGAAAAAAATGCAAGGCCGGAATTGCAATAGTGATTTGGTTTATAATGTGAAGCATTTCTTGAGAACTGATGAACCAACCGGAAAACTCGATTCAGTTTGAGTAATGCTTTATTTCAAAGGTTCACGAGATGTTGCAGAAGAGTCTATGTAAAACTGGCTAAGCTCATATCCCAGGCTTTCATAAGTTTGGGCAGCCACTCAAAATCTCCCATTAGAACGAAGGGCTAGTTGCACTCTTTCTCGTTGTCGAATCAGGTGGTCAGCCTCGAGTGCTTAGAGTGTGTGAACATAGAAACTTGATTTTCTCTTAAGATATCCCTGAAGGTTTTCACAGAACTGAGCGGGTGAAAGAGTGCATGTGTACTAAAACTGCTATCAAACACTGGGGACTAAGCAGTAGCTTAGTCCATAGTCCCCAATCTTACAATTTGGGAGCTCCATCCTACCCACGTTTGAGCACACCTGTGCACACGCTTTTGAGTTGAGCGAGTGGTAAAAATTTAGAGTATTTATATATGGCATGCAAGTCTGTTTGCAAGCTCCACACTTAGTGCACCTGATTACCCCCAAAATCTGATCTAGCCATTCCCTTTGCCCCGAGTGCCTACCACTCAAGGAGCTTGCTTGGCCACCTCGTCAGCGCATTCTGGCTGCGCATTTCTTTTGTTGCCCGTTGAAAGGCGGACCCTTCTTCATAATTTTCTCTGAGAGACTGTTCCAATGTGTGCGAACGATGCATTTTGGTGTACCTGCATGCCATATACTCCAATTTACAAGTTGGATTTGGAGCTGACAAAAGCATAGGGTCAGATGCACGATTTTAAAAAGCTTTCTCTCTGCGTGAGCGCTCATACAAACCAAGCTGTCATCATGTGCCTCTGCCGTTGCCTGTGCTAGAGTCAAATCGGTCACACAAACCATAAAACAGACCAACCGACTAATGAAAAGTGACAAAAATGTTCGCCCACAAATGCTGTCGAATTTAAAGTGAAAATAGGTCAAGCCGAGACGAGCAACCCATTAAAAAAAAGGTACCATGAAACTTTCATTACACCAGTTATTTTATATCTACAAGAAATAAATATGTGAAGCCAACCGCATAAAATTAATTTATAGAGACCATATCGGATCTGCACAGATGAGGAAAAAGCCAATCTTGTGGAGGGCCTTCTTAATAACTATGGCCTTTGATCTAGCGAAGCTGTACAAGTTAGGATAGAATAAATGTTAGACACAGATTTTTCTCCATACATTGTGGACAAATAGGCATCCGACTATGACTGTGGAGGGGAGGGGGACACAGGCAGCAGCTGCATCTTTCTTCTGCGTGCACCTCGACCAAGTCGTATTAATTTGGGTTGTGGGGACCTGTACCTGCATGTCTTGGCACAGAAGTTCGCCGAGCACAGCGATTTCTGTGCCAAGACATGAAGGCCACAAGACATTTTTTAAAGAATTGGGCAGCTAGCAGGACTAGTGGGCAGCGAAACCACTGCCACCCACTGTGAGAAAAACCCTGGTTAGATGTGATCAATATTGTTTAAACAGTTTTCAGAAGGGTGCTGTCAGTCACATCAAGTTTGCTTTTCTCTCAGACCATGCTAGATTTTAAAAACTGAACTATTTACTTGCCAGCAAAAAACATGTGCAGCCAACTCCACAAAATGACTTTTTCAAAGTGACCAATCGTCAAAAACTGCTCCACGTTGTACAATTCCAAATGTAGTTCCTGAAAAAAAAAAGACAAACACGAATGACAATCTATACAAATGAGAGTTGCTTAAATCGTAGCTGGCTATAACCATCCAAGGTAATCCTGCAGTACAATGGCCACAGGAGACTGCCAGAAATCAGCTGACTTGTGCTCCAAGAAATTCCTACAAACAAGACTTAAGAACCATGCAGTTCCCTTTACTTAAAGGTTACCTTATAATGTGTTAGAATATACAAGAAAACAGATTTCAAATCTTAGAGCAAGACCTTGTAGGCATCGACATAAACTAAGCGAAAAAATTATGCGATTAGAGGACCCTTACAATATTTGTCGCCTTGGGCAAGATACTTTATATAAAAAGACTACCTAATTAAGCTAGTTAAGAAAAACGTAGCCTATATTGGTTACTCCTAAAAGGTAATTCCATTATCTTACTTTACTTCTTTTATTAAACAAATAAACAAGGAAAACTAGGAACCGGCTATGCTCAGGTTTTTTGCACAAAGTGCCTGTATCAGTGTTATTACATCTTATACTGAAGCAGCAGTTGCTTTTCTAAATTTTCATCCAAAAGTTTTACATTACTGAAGGCAAGCACATCCATTTCCATCGCTGAACAAGCTTTCAACTGGCACACTTGGTGGAATGGCTTGCATGCACAAGTATTTGTTCCTGGTTAAAACCTCAACAATATACAAAGCCATTGCCTCCGAGGTTACCTTTCCCCACCACTGCTCCTCACTGTAAGCACAACTTTTGGACGGAGTTGAAAAAATATTCTCCTTGTTTATCTGTTGTCAGTGTTTTCTCTGCATTGCCAGCTGCGCTTTGTCATTGGCACTTGTCATCCATAATCCGAAGTGCATAATCTTTTTGGTCATTGTCTATCCATGACAATCTAGATATAAGGTATGCAACACATCATGCTCCTCAATGTAACTGTAATTAGAAAATTAACTCCAAAAGAACATTGCTACTTTTTTATTCAGTAAAAATAATGTGATACAGAACTTACTTCCCACAAACTTAGCGTGTGACAGTTAGTGTTACCAAGAAAACAATTGTTACATCAATATGTTGCTTGCAACGTGTCACTACTTAATACTACCTGCGATTCAAACGTGGCAAGTTCATCGGCTACAAAAAGCCAGCAGCAGGTGACCTAGTATGTTTGAATTTAGCTATAGTAACTAGATTCAAATGAATTTAGCGTATTAGGTTTGAATCTAGCTATAGTGAATAGTAACACCAGTTGGGGTCAAAACAATGTTACATGCGACGGACACTACTACAAAACTTGTCGGAAGTGACACCAGCTGGATCAGCGTTGTCTCCCTCTCAGAGTCGTGCTCGATCTGTAATAACTCACTTTTTACTTACCATGAAAATACACCAGCGAAGTTGACTCCGTAACTCGACTTGTTCAAATAGTTAAATCATAAAACGTTGCTCGACATTTCGTATCTTCTGAAAAACAAGACATACAGAAGACAGTCAGAATGCCAGTTAAAGCAAGTGAGAGTAGCTTAAACCGCAGTTGGCACTGGACATGCAAAGTAACCCTGCAGTCCAAGCATGGCTGCAGGAGGCTGCAAGAGATCAGCCAACTTGTGCCCTGAAAAACCTCTACAAAACAAGAATAAACCATGCAGTTCCATTTTGATGTTAACTCATAATCTGCTAAAATATGCTTTAGAAAAAGGCTTGATACATGTTCGAACTGGGGCTTTACGGGCAACATGTTAGATGTGGCTGATATTGCTACAACAGTTGTCGAAAAAGTGACATCAGCTACATCAGCGTTGCCTCCCCCTCAGGGACATGCTCATTCTGTAAGAACTCAGACTGGAGACTTACCATAAAAAAAATACAAAAGCGAAGTTGACTCCGTAATTCAACTGGTTCGAATGGTTAAATCGTCAAACATAGCTCGACGTCTTGAGGTGCACACTGTATTTTCTGAAAAACAAGACACAAGATTGTCAGACTGTCAATTTAATCAGGTTAGAGCAGCTTAAATAGCAGTTGGCACTGGACATGCTAAGTAATCATGCAGTGCAAGCATGGCTGCAGGTGGCTGGCAGACCGGCCGACTTGTGCTTTGAAAAACCTCTATAAAACAAAAAGAAAGAACCATGAGGCTTCACTTAGTTCAAAGCTTAAAAGTTACTATTTAAAGGGGGAGCAACGATTTCCGGACTTCGGTCAAAAATTTGTGGAGGTTGCTCTCTGACACTTCTGAAGTAAAGAACAGGAAACCGATTTCGCCTGCGCGTCCTAGTTGTTGCGTAAAAAAAAAGACAGCTATTGGCATTTCGGGCACCCCTCAACTCACTCCCAGTCTTTAGGGTCACACCTGGTCGCACTCCTAGTGACGTCATTCGGAGTGCCGTGTAGGTTCCCGTGTGCTATCTCGGAGGACGCTTCCTCTCCCTCTCTCTGCTGACATTAGCGGGCGTTATGCTGCAGCTTGGAGCCGAGCGAGGCACGTAAACTTCTAGCCGTAGTTCCTTTGGCTGCCACTTGCAGCTGCAGGTGGGGGAAAAAGCTTGGCTTTTGTTTTGCGATTATGCAGCAGAATCGCAACATTCTTAATGAAGGAGATGTTTTCTGTATCCTCCGGGACGTGATAAACAACATAAAAATGACAAGATGCAAATTCTCTTAATCATAAAATCGTTGCACCCCCCCTCTAATAATAATACATTTAAATATCAAACGAATAATTACTTTGTGCGAGAGCAAGGGGCAAAAAAGTTGCAAGGAGATAATTTGTAAAGTGGCAGGATGCCGGTTGCTGTAATTGAACAGACGCAGACTCCTAATAACACGGGATATGAATACCATATCATGTCGCCCACATCTGCCTTGACACTGTAGCACTCGCACTGCATGCATGCATCACCGGTTCACAGCAGCATACCGCAGCAAATCATGTATTGGCTCTGGGGGCTCAAACATTTTACAGATCAACCATCTGTGGTTACAATTACAGGATGCCTTCCCGTTTTAAATAAACGAGTTGAAATAAGTTTTATTTGCATACAGTTTGTGAGTCGTTTCAGTTGCTTTTTTACGATGGTGTGTCCTGGAGCATTCTCAAATTGAAAATTCGTACAACTGCCGAACCGTCCTATCCGATGAAAGTATAAATAAAATATGACATCATTCGCTTCGATATTTGAAAGTTCTGAATACTCACAAAGCCCTTTGTTACGCTTCTCAAAAGATTGGCATCAGTCACATTAGAGTTGTCTTCCTCTTAGGTACATGCCAGATGTGTAGGAATTCAAATTTGCACTTACCATAAAAAAACATACAGGTTCAAGGGATTTCTGTGGAGACTTCATTTGAAGCCCTTCAGCATCGCTAAAATCTTGAGCTGGGCCGTCGTTCGCTTCACTGCTCCCATTCTCTTCAAGCCCTTCTCCAGGTTGATTTGGAAGATTGGTCTAGGAGGATATATTGCATCATCTAACATTAATGCCATGCCTGCTTCAAGCATACTCAGCCTGGTGAAGGTGAAGCCATTTATTTTCTACTATCAAGTCAGACTATGGTAGTGTTGGAACATGTTAAACCTGAATGACTGCTGAACAAGCACACATTCTATAGACCGACACCCTGTTTATAAGCAAGTCCGCGTTTGCCCACACAGGTGTGAGCACTGTGCGTGCGCTAAAACCAAATTCGCGTAAAGTGAAGCGTCTGCGCTTCACTTTACGCGAATTTGTGCCGCCGACAGCGCCACCGCAGCTGCGTGACGTCAGTGCCGCGTTCTGGTCTATACAAGATAACCATGCTTCCCTGCCTTGAAAGTTACAGCCTAATGACAACCAGTGTTCCCACGTTATCAATTCATTATAAATATGCAGCAGCGTAATTCTTTGTAAAATTAGTACAGCTCAAATGTTTGTGCGAGTTGTGAAAAAAGGCGCTACGGCACGATAAATGATAGGGTAATCTAGATTATGTCATTCTATGACACATCCTGTGGACTTGACGCATTTCAAGATTTTCTCACATTTGCATAAACTCGAGAGTGGCCAAGGCTTCCGTTGAATAGGTAAATTCAACACGTAAAAAGCTCAAAGCAAGACGCATACCGCCTTCAAGAATGGCATAGGCTCTTTAAACATTGGCCGATGCTCAGTGACAAGGAAGCAATTGTCGTTGAAGACGCCTCCTGAAAAAAATATGAGCTTGCATCTCAGACAATTTGAAACTGCAGGAACGGTGGCTATGTTCCTTACAAACAGTCTGACTGAGGAGCCAAGATTAATGCACACAATTTTGCAGTCCGTGGAACAGTGGTATTACGTGCCCTCCGGAGTGGCGCCGTGCAAGTATTGAGCGGAGGTATATTGCTTTAATATACACATAGAATATTATGAGCATAAAAATGAATGTCAATACGATGATCTTAGACCATCTGGTTGGGGGGAATCAGCGTACAGTGACACAACCCTTAGCAAAAAGAGGCCGTACTTCAAACGAAGTTTAAGTATATTTAGTACGAATATTCATTTTGTATTTATTCTGTATTATTTTGGCCGCATTCGAAATACGCCCGTAATGTATTCAAAATACATTATAAATATGAATCAAAAAATATTTTAGATATACCAAAAATATTATTCCTTCACACTCAAGATGCCATTTGTGCATTAAAAACCGGTTACACGATTTTTTTTATTTTCGATTTTGTCAGCGAATGGTGTCCCTGTGGTATTTGAAGGCACTACTAATACATCTTACAAAGCTACGTTAGAAACGAACACAAACACCATGACGCACTGAACAGCTCATTTACAGTCCCATTGACTGCTCTAGAGCCTTATATAGCCTACATATTGAAGGTAATCATTTTTTCGGTGACCACCTCTGCGCTTATTAAGGTTCCAAGTATTCGATCTTCTCCTCGGAAGTCTGTCGAAGGGGAAACAGTGTT